CAGGCTTCAGCGTTTGGACAGCCATCTGCCCAGGCTTCAGCGTTTGGACAGCCGTCATCAGGAGTAAGCAGCACGGGTTTTGGGGGTGGCACAACACCGGCTTTTGGACAGACTGGAGGGCCTGGTCAGAGTTCAATGTTTGGGCAAACGCCTGCTTTTGGGCAGGCTTCGGGATTTGGCAAACAGCCACCAGCAATCGGCCAGCAGCCCTCTGGGTTTGGGAGCCCACTGAGACCCACAGTGAGTCAGCCTCAGCCTCTCGGGTTTGGACAGCCATCATCATCATCCACCACTGCCACCACCAACGCCAGTCTGCTTGGGCCAGGTCAGAGCAGGAGCTTCGCACCATCTGAATTTAGTTTCAGGCCAGCCAATGAGGCACTTTTCAAACCCATCTTTAGTGCCAGTCCCGAGCCAACCAACCCCCCAACCACTTCACTGTCCAACTCAGCTTTTGGTGGGTCCCAGACAACCTCCAGCACCACCACCACGGCTGGTTTTTCTCTGTTGCCTAAGCCTGGGTCTTTAGGTTTCAGCTTCTCTGAACCAGCCTCAGCCCCCTCTATCTCCTCTCAAAGTAACCCACTAACAACTGACAGCAGTAGTGGTCCAGCTACCACTCTTCAGTTCACCTTCTCCCAACCAGCCACACTCACCAGCTCCAGCACTAAGGCTGCCACCACAGAGCCCACCACCCCGTCGTCTTTCAGCTTTACACCCAAAACCCTCCAGCCTCAGGCATCGCAGCTTTTTGGAGGAACAACTTTTGGTCAGCCCTCAGCTTTTAGTGAAACCAAAACCAAAGAAGAGGCTAGTACAGATGTTAAAGTCCATACTGCCCAAGGGGACATCAACATATTTGCACGGCTTGGCAAAGGCACCAAGCGGAAAGACGATCCACCAATCTCCAGCACCGGCCTTGAGAAAACAGCTGTCCCTGAGGAGGATGTTCCACCTGAAGCAGAGTCACCGAGACATCCCCCAAAGAGGCCGCTGATGAGGTCGCATGGCCCACCAAGAGGATTAATCAGCCGAGCATTGAGCAGTCTTCGTAAGGATGGTGCTAAACCAGTGAGGCGGGAGGCTGCAAACGAACCGGAGAGGGAGGATGTCCAAATTCAGAGTGGTGACCTCTTTGTAACTCCACCTGCTGCCCAGACACTGACCAAAGATGTGCAGGATAAAGCCGAAGAATCAGGTGAGACATAAAAGTCATATATACTATGCATTAGTAATAAATGTTCGAAGGGTCATGACAAAAATCCTTCATCATGCAAAGTACTTCTAAACAATTGAAGACCAGTTTACTCGTCAGTGCTTACAATGACTGTAGTGATTTTTCTCTACAGATTCAGCAAAACCTTCAGAATCAAAGGTCGCAACCACGACCCCAAATAAACGTGGCTCACGCACTGAGAGCATGGACAGCCTGAGCGGCATGTCTCCCACCGACTGCACCTCACTCATGTGCAGGAACGTCCCTTCATCACTCAACAGAAGAGACACGATCGAGAAGCACTTTGCTCGGTTTGGGAAAGTTCACAAGATTATCTGCCGGCCCGCCAAGAACCTCACCATAGTGTACTTCAATGACCACGTGAGTCACCTCTTTGTACCCTCACCATCCTAAGTTAGAGGACTGGCATTCAGTTTAACTTTTCTCTCTCAAGCTTCTACTCTTTTATTGCAAGTATTTTGGAGTTTCCTATTCTACTTTATAGAGTGTAATGTAGATTTTTTTTTGTCTTTTCCCATCATCTCTTCCAGGCATCAGCGGCAAAAGCAAAGAAAAAAGGCAAAATCCTGCAAGGAAAAGAGCTTCTCCTCCTGTGGCAGAGAAAGAAGCAGAGTAAATGCAAACATTTCTTTAAAAGCTAGTTTATTTTGGCAAAAATATCCTCTAACACAGAGTGATGGTTCTTCTGTATTAATGTGTAATGTTATGGAGCAGGTCCAGGGGAGAAAGCGGGTAGACCTGGAACTGGAAAGGAGACGTCAGAAGGAGAAGGCCAGGAGGACATGGAGTCAAAAGCGGGTTCTTCTTCACCACTCCGGAGACCCACCCTGAGACCTCCCACACTCAGCAGCACGGTGACCTTCAGCCGCAGGTAACACAGCACCTAATTTTTACTTCACCAATAAAGCTGTCATGTAGTATGAAAAGTTTCCACAACATCATGGCTCTCTCACATGTGTCAGCTCCCCAGTGAAGAAACCTTCCCCCGTAAAGGCTCTACAGTTTGACACTGAACCTCAAAAAGAGAGCAGCACCAGCCAGAGCCAGAGCTCCGAGCGCCCGGTCCCATCCTCTCTCCTCCCCCTCATCGGGCAGGTGGCTGAGACCGCAGAGGACAAATACCGCCTCCTCGAGCAGAGAGACAAGATCCTGCGTCAAGGCAAAGCCACCTCTCACATCAGCCATTATTAACAGAGCTACAAAAAATAAATTAAAAAGGTGTGAGACATTTAGTGCTGATGTCTTTACAGGCCGGCCAAAGCGGACAGACCTCCACCTTTCCAAGGTATTTGTGGGGACGTGTCCTGACATGTGTCCTGAGAAGGAGAGGTACATGAGAGAAACTCGGAACCAGCTCAGCGCATTCGAAGTCATTCCAAGCACAGAGACGGTAATGTCTTTAATATCAATATTAATATTATTTAAAATATTAAATTTGACCTAGAACTCCATGTTTAGTATTCAGAAGATTCTCTGGAGCACATTTAGATTTAAACGCTTTATTCACTTCATCTGATTGCACTAATTGGACGTTTGGGTGCACAACATTGTAAACATATCTGCTATTCATAAATAATGAATGTGTAAATATCTGTTTAGGCTTAGTGATAAATAATAAAAAATATGTATACACTGGAGAGACACTGCAGACTAGAAATGTCCAACTCACTTAAGTTTGTGGGCCAAAGAAAGCCTCGTATGATGCCCGACAGTCAAACAACTAAATGTTTAAAACTTTTCTTTTAATTTAAACAAAAATTTGCTAAAATCTTTCAAATATAGTGAACTGTCGATTACAGAACTGATGATGAACCGCCTGAGATACTTTTAAATGTCTTCTTACATGTAATTAAAGTACTGTCATATTTTCACTTTTCACCCAGTGAGGTGATGTTAACATTACCTCAATGGGTAGTGCAGAATGAAAACCTTTCCAGTGAGACCCAGGACTCACTGGAAAGGTTTTACCTCTTGGCTGGCTTGGGAATGACGTTTTGTCCCCTTCCGATGAGATTAAAGAGGTGGCTGTGGTGAGGGAAGTTTTGGCTTCTCTGCTTAGACTGCTGCCCTGTGACTCAAACGCTGATGGATAGATGGATGAAATGGTTGTCAGTGTTTTTTGTAGCAGGCTGTAACCTGGTCATGCAAGGAAATTAGATTCTTCTTGCTGTAAACAATTTTTTCTCCTTCCGTTTCTGACCAGGTGGATCACGAAGCCGCCATCAAGGAGTACAGCCGCTCATCAGCCGACCAGGAGGAGCCCCTGCCCCACGAGTTGCGTCCTTTGCCGGTGCTCAGCATGACTATGGACTATCTGGTGACGCAGATCATGGATCTGGGCCACGACAACTACCGGGACTGGTACGACTTTGTCTGGAACAGAACCCG